TATCCTGGGCTTGAGTTGATTTATACTCAAGGAACTTTCTCTGTCTCTCTTTGTCTGGCCTGAATCTTGAGCTGTCAGCCAATCAGATTCTCTGTCAGCATCACCTGTCCGTCTCGTCTTCATTTTTTAGTATTGAAGACCGTATGTGAGAGTACAATATCATTTAGATTGTGAAGTTTTGCTTCGGTTGAGATACGAGTCCTTCAGTTTTTCCCATGATTCATGGATTTCAGCGAGACTCATATTTGGCCGTTATATTGGCATAGATGTTCCTCCACACCTGTCACATCCAAAATCTACTGACAAAACTATTTTCAGGTGAAGTCAGCTTTATTTCTATAGCGCTTTATACAATACAGATTGCGTCGAAATAGCTTCACAGAGATAAACATGAAAATAACAGAAACAAATATGGAAACTCAACTGTTCAGATTCTCTAAAAGACAAACGAGTGTCGTTATTCAGATCAGTTTAGTTCAGACTTAATCAATCCCCCATATTTTTCCTCTTTCGGAAAGTCATACAAACACTATTGTGGATTTTCCTTTTAGTGCAAAAGTGATATTCGTTGTAGTTTCCGTTCACCACTCTAGAAATGTACCAAACTATGACGACTTCAGAAATGTGTAGACCTACATGTGCGCCATTGATCTCTCCTGACATCTCCGTTGGACTCTTTAGATTGACTCATTGATTAATGACCATCGTCAAGGGCGATTAAGGAGGATGGTCGTGATGATGTTCTGAGCGTTTCCCAGTATCCTCTCTGATGATGTTCCTCCTCTCTAACTGCACAATCATGTAGGCTAATGTGTTGAGAAGTGTCCTGTTTAGTGACACCAGCCCTCGTCAGTCTCTAAGTTTTGAAGCCGAGCGTCACGCTGTGATGTTGGGTTTTTTGGGAAGGTTGCGCCTCAGGTGTTGGCAGCGGCTCCACCCTGATGTGTTGATGCTTCTCGCACCTCCTGCACCTGAACACGGGTAATAAACTGGCGCCGCAGCTCAATGACACGCGTGTCAGTTTGGATCGTGTCTTCGGCACCTCATTGTTCCTTTGAGCGACTGCAGAAACATGCTTCACGCGTTCAGGAGAAATCATCAAATATTAACACGTCACGGGCGATTTTGATGCGAGACTCGCGGCTGTTTGCTCACGTTCGTCAATAAAGCAGCTCGCATGATGTTTCTCATCATCTTCTCATTATTAGGATATTACGTGCTCCTGCGTTTTTACTCGTCGCTGTCCCTGTTTTCTGAGGCCTATGCTTTCCTGCACCGAGCTTCTTTGCAAACTGATATTAGTGTAATGCCTGTCCGTCCTGCGTGGGAGGAAATCTTCATCTCGTCTCATTGAGTAATAGTACACACACACACACACACGCACGCACGCACGCACACACACACACACACACACACACACACACGCACGCAC